TATATATATATATATGAGTTTTTCGGTCCACGTTTGCAGTACACGGCTGCACTTCTCGTGGGGAGCTGGTGCAGGGACACACATCTTAATTATATTCATTCCCCTTCCTCCTTTCCCTCCTTCCATCTCTACATCCCCTTCCCATTTGCAAAAGAGCTATCTGTTTCCCTTTTTCTACCTTTTGTTTTGCTCTTCATTTACAGTTTGGCTCTAATACACAAGAGAAACTGTGATACTTAAGCTTGTGTGTGTGATTTAGCTCAGTTAACATTATGGTTGCCAAGTGCTGATGCTTTTCTCACACGACTCAAATTTACCCTTCTTTATATGGGAATAGTACAGACTCCACTGGGCATAAATTCCTCATTTTCTTCATTCATTGGTTGATGGGCTTACAGGCTGCTTTCAAGATCTAACTATTATGAACTGTGCTGCTATAAACATGGGCACACGTGCACCACACTGTGGTATGATGTCTTAAACTTCTGGGAAGTTATCTAGAATGGAAAGAGCTGGGCTGAAAGCAACTTCTAGTTTTAGTTTTTGAAGAATCTCCACGTTGACTTTCAAAATGAAAATTAGCCTTCCCCCACAGCCTTGCTAGCATTTGTTATGATGCGAAGTCCTGATGGCCATTCTTTCTGGAGTAAATCGAAATCTGTATTGTTTTAATTTGGATTTTTCTGCTGGCCAGTGATGCTGACCATTTTTTCATGAATTTTGGCCATATGTACTCCTACCGAGAAGCATGTATTAATTTCAGCCATTTCTTGTTTGGATCTTTTCATTTTGGAGGGAATCTAAACTCTTTGTTATTTATATATTCTAGGTATTAGTGCTTTATCTGATGAGCACCTGGCAATTTTTTTTCCTAATCTTAAGACTGAATTTCTTACATTTAGTTTTTGGTGCTTTGTAATCTTATTCGGGATTGTTTCATCTATTTTATAGTTTATAGCATCAAGGTTGAAGTTTTTCAAAACAAACAAACAAAAAACCACGTCTATGTGTACAGTTCAGGTTCCTCAGGAACCTCGTCTTGCGTTTCTGGGCTTACACACCCGTGTGATCCGTGTGACCCGTCCCGTGTCCCCAACTGCACCGACTGAGCAGGCTGTGCGCGAGCCGCACAAGAAGGCTGACACCTGGCGGAGCCTGCGGGTCACACCCTGCCCAGCGCAGGGCCTCAGCGGGGCAGTGCGTCTGCCACCCCTCTGCTACTTTAGGGGTTACAAAGCCATGAGTTCGAGGGTCCCCATTAGTATGTGCCATCTTTGACTGTCGTTCTGTCTCATTTCCACGCCTCTCCTCTAAAACCTTTGGAAAGATGTCTGCATGTTACTTCAAAATGAAACGCAACTATCTACTGCAACGAAATTATGCTTCTGATTCTTAAGTGTATCTTTAAGAAAAATAGTAAAGTAATAATTATAATGCATTTTAAATGAAATGCTTAAAAAATACAAAGGACTGAAGAATGAAGGAAAAGGATTCTGTCTTCTTACCTCTGAATGGAGGTCACTAACTCCTTCTCCTTCTTTTTCTGGCACATTAACTGTGCCTCTTTCTCTTGACATTGTTTTTTGATCTCTTCAAACTTTTTTTCTGTATCTATCAAAGCTTCTTGCAAATTTTTATTTTTTTCTTCTAGAACCTGCAGCTAAGGAGAAATTTTTTGCAGTTCATAATACATGGAATAGTAAATGCTTCTATTAGAAATCACTACTGTTCTCAAGAATTAACAGATTCGTTGCTAATATAACACCATCTCCATGTCAAATACAGTATTTAACCTTTCTTTTCTCTGTGGAAGACAGTTGGAAGGATGAGAGATGAAGAGAGAGTAAGGTCAGAAATTTCTAGAAGACAGAAAGAGAAAGATTAATAATCTCCTTTTCCTATTTTTGGTTGTAATAAAGCACACATAAAATTTAGCATCTTGACCATTTCTCGGTGAACCGTTCAGTGGTGTCCACCAGAACTCACCTGGTATAACCGAAACTCCGCCCCTCAAACAACTCCTCATCCACGCCATCCTTCAGCCCACCCCCTGACAAATACAGGTCTACTTGTGTCTAACCTGACTGCTCCAAAGCAGAATCACACAGTATGTGTTGAATCTCAAAATATCCCCAGCTTAATCCAGGTTGTCGCATGAGTGCAAATTTCTTGGCATTTAAGGCTGAACGGTAGAACGGCGTGTGCGCAGCACCTTTCGTGTTTCTACTGATCCACCTGGGTTCCTGCACTGGTTCCAGCTTCTGACTCTAGTGATGAGTGTTATACACCTGGGTGCCTGACAACTGCCACATCTGTAAGGTGCATGATCTCACATTTTCAAGTCTATGTTGCTCTCTTATTCCTGCCCATGCACACTGCCCGTCGTCCTTAAGTTCCTTCCTGACTTTAACCTCTCTTGGTTTTTCAACTTATAAATTAATATAAAGTAAAAGAATGGCATGCAAATTTTCGATACAAAAAATAATGACACTCCACAGATTAGAGCAATGACTCTCAACAGACCGGTTTTATACCCCAGGGAACACGTGAAAAGGCTGCTCACATGGAAGGGTGGGGAGGGAGCGGTGTTACTGCCATCGGCAGGGCTGGATAAAATGCACAGGGCAGACCCCTGTTAACAAAACTGTCTCCCACCAGAGTCTACAGTGCTGAGGCTGAAAATCTAGGGTTAGAAAGACTCTGAAAAACTGAAGTGTAGATTTAATGGATTTGTAGTTAAGGTTTCAAGAGGTTAGGTCTGGCCAGACTTGGTGGAAGTCTTTGGAAGACATATTTTTAAGAAAGAAACAAGTCAGAGGAGTGAGCAGAGGTCATTTCTTATACCAAGGTGTAAGACAAACCTATGGAAAGGCTGAGAAGAATGAATGAATCAAACAAACATGTCTCAGACACTCAACACAAGGTCATGAAGAGCCTGGGGCCCAGAGCAAACTACAGAGGCTTGGAACCAGGACGCGTGCGTGCACGAGCGGGGTCATCAGCTCCCAGGGACAGCATGACGGTGGCTTCCCCAGGACCGTGACCCGGCACTAACTGGCTCAGTGGAGCCGAGCAATGGGAAGCGCAGTGACTGGTGCTGAGCACCCTCCCCACCCACCTGCAGGCTCTGGCTCTGCACATCATCCAGTGTGGGGAGGTCCGCCAGGTACTTCTCCAGGGTCTCAATTCTCCGCTGCTTTTCCTTGTTCTGCTCAGATTCCTTCTGACATTTCTTCTTCAGGCTACTGATGTACCTATCTCTGGTTTTAAGCTAAAGGAAAAGGGTCATGAAAGCTCAGTAATGTTGCACAAACAATAATGAAACTAAATATTCCAATCTTGGGCATTGTGATTTCACCCACATGAAGACCACCACCAACTCAAGACTTATTTTATCATAAGATTCACATTTTCTTCACATTTTGTTCTCAGTGGAATCAAGAATCTTGGGGATCTGTTTATAAACTGCAAACTGCAAACCCATGCCAGGATGCACCAGTGAGGCGTTCTTCCTCACCCACACACGTACGTGTCCGAAGCCGGCCACATCTCGGTCATTTCCACAGCATTATGTTCACATTGAAACAATGTGTTGAGGCTAAATGATGCTTAAAGTAAAATATTCTAATTGGGCAATGAAAAAGGTTACTGGGTAACAGAACAGAGCCACTGGGTATAGTCTAAAAACTGGCAAGGTACTAATTTCTGGAGAAATGATTCCAGTTTCTTATTTTCTTCAAAGCTACACCCAAATGCTTTCAGTGGACCAAGAAAGGACACCAACAAGTAATTACAGCGGTCATGTTACTAAGAGCAACCTGAGAAGGAAATGCTTATCAGACACTCAGAGATGTAGTACAAACAGCTGACCAGCCTGGTAACGGAGAGGCTAAGGCATCCCTCCCCTAGCCACACCTCAAGGGAGCCACAGGGCATCTGCAGCACGGTCTCCCCCACTTGCGGGCTGAGAAGCTATGCCAACTGCGAGTCTACCACACAACACACGAAGGTCGCGATCCCTCTAGGCTGGACCTTGGATTTTCATGAATTTTTCTGACTTTACTACCTGAAATGTATCATATCTAATTTAATTTTTTATTTTTTAGTACATTTCTCGTGGAGAGTACATAACACATCTTGATTATTTTTTCTCCTTTCCTCTCCAGCCTCTTCCCACCCTATATTTAAATTTCACATGTCATATTCAAAGATCTCTCACACTTAAGATCATAAAAAACAAAATGTGTACAAAAACTGTTGCCTAAAATGTAAACGCCAGACACATTTACCTTAAATTATCAGTTTCTCTAATGTTTAATGTTCTCACAGAAACTTAACAGGATTCTAAAATATTTTCACAGATTTTTTTCACATTCACCAGGGAAATAAGTGGCATGAATTAGCAGAATCAAGGATTATTCATTCAAATTTTACTAAAGCTAATGACTCATCCACAGTCTAGTTTCTTTCACACTTTACCTATTTTATTCTAATGTACAATAGCTTTTATAAAAATAACTTCAATGCAGTCAGGAAACAATGTATGAACAGATGAATTTTAACCAAGAGAAAACATTGGAAATGTTAAACAGAAACCCTGAAGTAGCCACACTCAATTCACTAACAGGGACGGACTGTCTCAAGCAGCAAAGGTGAGCAGCGTTAAAGACAGGTAGAAAAAGGAGGAACACAACAGTTAAGAAAAGCTGAGGGGCTTATGGACACCAAAAGCCAACACACACATAGGCACTACGGGAGTCCCAGACACAGAAAAGAAAAGGAAAGGAAAGAAAGTTTCAGACAATGGCAGCAAACTCCCCACTTGTAGGGAAGGAGATGGATACACAGATCCAAAAGGCCTAACCCAAAGAAATCCGTATGTGTAAGCATTAGAATTAAACTGTCTAAAATCAGTGACAGAGAAATTTGAAAACACCAAGAAAAAAAGACCTGTCACACACAATCATATTTCTCACTAAAAACTTGCCAGAGCCGGGAAATGTGGCTCAATGGTGCCTTGCCTACCCGGCAAGCGCAAGGTCCTGAGTTCGATTCTCAATACCAGGAGGGAAAAAAACCTAAAAAACCTTGCAGGCCATGTTAAAGTGGGATGACACATCCCAAGTCCTGAGAGAAAAAGCCACCAACTAAGAACAGGATGCACAGCAAACTGTTCTTCAAAAGCTAGGGGAGGAGGAGGATGATCCGGCTGCCACACTGTCACCCCACTGATGGCTGGGCTGACGTGGCAGATCCGGGTGGCTGGGCAGGGGACCCCTTCCCCCTTGACGCTCTACGTGTTCCCTTCCAAAGCTGCGTGCTTGGTGGAATAGGACCGCCGCCTCATACAGCCTCCAAATCAGCTCTCAGAAGTGAAGGGGAGAAGATTTTCCCAAAAATAAGCACAGAGAGCCCAATGCCAGGACACCTGTCTTCTAAGAATATTCCAAATGAAGATACGAAGGTGTTAAACAGTAACAGAAAAGCATGAGAAAGTACAAAACTTGCTGATAATGATAAATATACAGATAAAGACAAAGCAATGTGATACTGTGGCAGGTAAAATCACTTTTCTAAAATAAAAGTTAAAAGAAAAATAATTAAAGTTAACTATAACAAGAGAGAATGGGATAACATTTTTTAAAATTAACTATAAATACAAAAATGTTACTGGATCCATGATATAAAACTGTAAACTGTTGTATCAATGAAGTGTGGAAGATTAAAAAGTCTCTCTTTTTTAATGTCACTGAAATTATCAGGTTAATATAGACTATAATAGATTTTATATTAAATCCCTGCTAACCACAAAAAACCCTACAATAAAAAAAATTAACCACTTACCAGTCCAATTATTTAAATACAGGATGAACCAAAAATTGCATTTTTTTTCATTTTTCTGATTATATAACAGGAAATTATAAAGGACAATTTTATCAAATTTATTTAATATAACAATGGACTGATGGAAATAACAGTATTGTAGACAGCTTTAGAAATTGTATTACAGGCAGACAGGCAGGGCCTGGCCCTCCAGAGTCGGTGCAGAAGAAGTTACGGCAGGAGGCATATTCAATGAAGGCAAGGCTTTGAGAAAAGGAGGAACAACTACACCCACATAATTCTTCTAGGGATGACGGCAGTGACTGATGTTATAAATACGTATCAGTCACCTTGGGTGGGGACCAAAACATCCCAAGCCCATTCCTTCCCAGAAAATCCTGTTCCACGTACGCAGGAGACCAGCTTGAAACCACACTGAGCAAGCTTTAGATATCACACATTTGGCTATTGATTAACATTATGTGTCACTCCAAGGCCTATGTGGGAATTGCTAACTGACCCTTCAGCTGGTGTTTGGAGATGGACTTTCCTAACCAACAGCTACGATCAGGCCTCAGTGATCCATGAGGCAGTGACATGTCTACAGCAAGGAGACACTGCCGCTGAGGAATTAGGCAGCCATTCTCCAAGATCGAATGTTAGCTAAAGATAAGACACGTGGCTCGTTAGCTATGGCTTGCAAGGCAACACAGGTGTCTCCTTAACGGTGACCTGTCTCTCACAAGAATACAGTTACTACCCTTTTACAACTTGGCTGAGTAGTGCATTAGTTCTGCTGCTCCCTACAGCTGCGTTCACGCCCTGTTGCCATGTTGTATAATCATAAATACCGACTAATTCAGAGCTTGTGGTCTTAGCCATGAGAGTAGAGATCCATGGTCTTCAGCCAGGGGAAAGCTGAGATCAATTTCTGGACCCCTAAGTAATAAACTATCATTTATTATCCTTCATTCCTTGTTCTTTGTGTATTATCCTTTCATTCTCTGCTGTCCCCTCATTCAGGTGACCGGGCCTCCCCCAGTGACTGGTCAGGCTATCTACTGTGGGAGAAGTTCAAGCCTGGCTGGGCCAGGTGCACTGCACTCCTGTCTCCTGAGCTAACTCGCCTAAGTGCGTAGATGCTGGGTCCAACAAGCTGCACCTCCGCCCCTAGTCCGTGATTCCTTCGCCTCACCTCCAATAAGATATCGCCAAATGTTAAATGCTCCTCCCATGCTCCTCCCCCATATTTGTCCCTGTATAAGCCTGTGCATTTCCGGAATAAAGCGGAAGCATTCCAGAAACCTCCCCGGAGTCTGCTTGGTGATTCTGCCTCTTACCCTTTCAGTCCAAGCTCCCGAACCTTGTTCCACCAGCAAGCTCGGGGATGACAATCTACCCGACATGGACGTCTGCTACCTAACTTGCTTCCCTGTTTGACCCCCATTTAATCAACATTACCTAAGCGACTACACTTCTAATCTTATTGGTTGACCCTACTTTTGACCCACCTTGTACCTGCCCTCACTTTGTGGCTTGCTCAATAAAACCTTTGAAAAATGGGGTTGGTGGGCAATTCACTTTCTAGACCCCCTTCTGTCTCTTAGACAGAGGCTATCTTTCTCTCAAAAACTTCTTCCTACACTTAACCTCTGTTCTGAGAATTCATTCTTCGATTTGAGAGAACACAAATTTGGCATTTCAGACTACTAGAAGGTTGGGAGTTATATTTCCCCTACATTATTTGGAGGTCCACATACCATAAACAAATGCGCTGCTCAAGTGACACTTGGGGTGAACTGTTCTCTGGTTAAAGCTTATCAATACAAAAACTCAGCAAGACACAAAGAGCAGGAGAGGAAAGAAAAACAACAGAACAAATACAAGACTGACAGGAAACAACAAAACGGTAATCGTCTCTAGCTATTGGTAATAACTTTTAATGTAACTAGATTAAACATCAGAATCAAAAGACACAGAGTGGTGAAACAACTCTACACTGTCTACAAGAGAAAAAGTGTCAACCAATCTGCTGGATTCAAGGACACATCTAGGTTGAATGAGGAGCAATGGTAAAAGTCACTCCACACAAACAGCAACTCAAAGACTGCAGCAGTCGATAAATTTATATCAGACAAAATAATACTTTAAATCAAAAGCTCCTGAGAGACAAAGGAGGTCACTCTGTAGCGAAGGGTCACTTTGGCAGCAGGGTGAAGTACAAATGCCCCCATGTCACATAGAAAAGACAATGTCATCATTAAACTGTTCTGGGAAAACTGGACATGCAAAGAATGAGCTGGACCTTTTTATTACAATACACACAGAAATCAACTCAAAACTGATTACAAATTTTAAACAAAGAGGAGACACGGAAGAGGAAAACACAGGGGAAAGGTTCTTCACATTGGGCTTGGTAGTGATTTCCTGGCTGTGAGTGCAACAGGACAGGAACCAAAAGCCAGGTACCAAGTAAACTGTATCAAGCTAAAAAAGAGATGAGAAAAATTTAGGTGAAACACAAAAAATAAACAAGTGAGACTATATCAAGCTGAAAACCTCTTGCACAGCAAGAAGACTACAATATATAAAGAATCCTACAGGATGGGAGAAAATATTTGGAAAAAACATGCACAACAGTGCAAAGAAATGCTAAACTCAGCAGCAAACAAAACCCAATCAAAAAGGAAGCAGAGGACCTGAAGCATATTTTTTTCAAAGGACACATGCAGATGACCAGCAGCTCCACAGGAGGAAAATGCAAGTCCAACCCTACTGAGAACCACCTCCCACCTGGAAGGACAGTGACAGTTACACTCAAACACAAGCTCACAGCCGGCGGTGACCTGGAGAAAGGTAAGTGAGCCCTTACATGCTGCTGGTAACATAAAGAGTACAGCTGCTACAGGAAACAGTACAGAGGGTCCTCAAACAAATATAAGACCTGTAATCCAGAACTGCTACTGCTGGGCATCTAAAGGAATCAAAATTGGGATCTCAAAGAATTGAAACTGGACTGTAAAAGTGACAGGTGCATTGTCATGTTCACAGTAACATTACTCACAACAGCGGGGTACAGTGTGGAAACAACCTAATATTCAATCACAAACACTGTACAAATGTGCTTTGTCAACTTAGTAGCACATGTATAAACTGACTTTAGTAAGCCCAAACTCCAAGAGTAATGAGAGGGAAAATTTAGATAAAACAAAAAAATGTATTTAAACTCTTTATGCACTGAAACATAACTTTCATCACATTTTGTTTTTTTTCCCCCAGTACTAGGGATCAAACTTAGGGCCTTGCACTTGCAAGGCAGGCATGGCACCACTGAGCTAAATCACCAGCTCACATCACATTTTTAAATGAAGAAGTCGCAGGTAAGAGACAACTTTAATACCTCCCACAAGTGACCAATGAGTACTTCCTTGCTCCTTGGAATTATGTAGTAATGTATGAAGTCCCCCAAATACACAAAGGAAACAAGAGGTCTTTAAGGTACTTTCAAATTAGCCACGGTAAAAGACATCAGATAGTTGACAAAAATAGGACACATAAAAATTTGTCAGCTTTGAAGATAAAAATTCCAACTCACCTGTATGTATCTGCATACATGATATGTGTGCACACAAGCGCACACACACACACACACACACACACACTCACAAAGATATTGATGGAGTCATCTATTGATGCTGTCAAACTGCAGAAATCAGGGTGACCTCTCCAGGGTCACAGTGAATGGAAAGGTGGCTTAACAAAACAATCAGGTAGGCAGAACCAAAAAGTCTACAATTGTTCCTGCCACTGAGTTTCCCAAAGATCTGAGCCCTCCAATAAACCAGGGACAGCGTGTGATACTACATGATGTCACACGGCTCTCTAATGACACTGTCGTGGGGGCTGAGATGGAACTGAGAAATAGTTTAATAACAGCAGGAAAGTCACATACACGTGTAGGAAGTATGTATATTTGGCTTTAGCCTCTCCTCCCACACTGTATTCCCCAGTGTAATAACTGGACAAAATGTCATCTCCTTTCCTTTCTAGTGCTTTACTGGGAACACGATGAAGACACGGGATGACCAACCCAATGAGGAAAGAGGCACTGGTGGGAGCAAGGAACTTTCAGTCAGACAGGGATTTCTACTCCTGGAGAAAATCTTCAGGGCTCCACAGAAGATGTGCAGGATTAACCCCTTGTGTGGATGTGTAACTGGGTGTGAGCCCATACAGGTAAAGGCCGACCTTCTCTACCGAGGGAGTGCTGCTGATCCAACACTTCATCCAGACGCCTACCTTCTCCTCCAGCTTCTTCTTCTCTTCACTGAACTGGCTCATTCTCTGCGTGAGAAAGTCACTGAGCTGTGAAACCTCCTTCTCGGTAGACGTGAGCTTCTGCTCGAGGCCCTCAGGCTGGGGCTGGGCCACAGCCCGCTCTGCACGCGTGGTCTGTAGGGTGGTGCTCTCATACTGCGGCTGTGGGGAGGAGAAGCGGCAGGCCTTTCAAGTTAAGGAGTAAAACATGTAAGTTCCTAGCCCATGGCAGAGGTTTCATGAAAGGGAGCTGTTACTTGGCTTAAAGGTACACCTAGAAATGCAAACAGGAAATTACGTGCTACACAAACACAAGTAAAAATTTTATGGGAATAAAGAAAAACTAATGAAAAATTTCTTCACGGTGGTAATTTCCAGCTAATATTAAAATCAGTTAACACAGTGGAATGAAATGGTGCCTTTTCTAGTTCAACAAATGGTGCTCAAACTAGACATTCACATATTAAAATAATAATAAAATTTATGTAGACACAAACCTTACACTCTTTATAAAAATTAACTCAAAATGGACCACAGTCATAAATGTCAACCATCATCCTAGAAAATTACTTAAAAAGAAAAGAATACACTAGGAAACCTAGGTGATCTGGGTTATGGAGATGACTTCCTAGGTAAAACACCAAAGGCAAGATTAATGAAAAGGAGTGGTAAACTGCACTTCATGAAAAGTAGAAACTTCTCTTTGATAACAGAGCACAGTGACATGTAAGAGACCACCTGTTGATTATGCTGAAAGCAGGCTGTAAGCACAGCATGCCGTGCAGCGTTAACTCCACAACTGGCTTGTTTACACAAGTGAATCCACCTGTAACTCACAGAAGCGCTGTGTGTGATGGCACATGGGCCAGTACCAGTACCACCACCACCACCACCATCACTCCTGCCAACAATCGCAGCAGAGGCTAGAGAAACAGCCCATGAGATACCACGGCAGCGGGCTTGCACCCAAATTCCGTTCCCAGAAATGTAACCTTCTTAAGTGAAAAAACAAGGTTAACTGTTAACTACAACTTCTATCTTATCTGTTCTGTTATTAACACAAGAATGCTTTGTCTCTTCTTTTACAAGCCTTGCCTACATCATCAACTTATCCCGAGCAACCACAAGTAGCCTCCTCACCCCAACTTAATGAATGATCATATCACCAATAAACAGCAGCTCTGGCTGTTAAGGTCCTTGCTTGCTAAAACACTGACCATCCCAGTTCCCCGTCTCTCTCTTTGATTTCTGTCTGAGTCTTTCTTCTCTCCTTGTGTCATAGCACCAAGCAGAAGACTGGGATCCACTGTAGGAGTTCCTGCTATCGAGGGAATAAGAATATGAGCTATAAACTGAGAGAAAATACTTGCAAAAGATACACACAATAACAAAACCTGTTACCTAAAATATACAAAGAACTCTCAAAATTTAACAATAGAAAACACCCAATTAAAAAAGAGCTGAACAGGTATCTCACAATGAAGATACAGAAATGGCACATAAGTATATGAAAAGACCTTCACCATTTGTCATTAGGGAACTGCAAAGTAACTGAAATGCCTCTATTCACATAAGAGAATGGCCCAAATCCAAATCACTGATGACAGAGGAGTGTATGAAGCAACAGGGCTCTCTTCACCGCTGCTAGCAAGGCAGAATGGTACAGTCAGCCTGGAAGATATCTCAGTGGTATCTTACACAGTTAAACATCCTCTCAACAAAGGACCTAGGCAACTGTGCTCCATAGAATTTATCCAAGGAGATGAAAACATGTCCACATTAAAAACCTGCACATAGTTGGCTATGCTGCTGTGATACTATGAAATATATATTTGGTCTTCATCCCTATTTCCTATCATCTAGCTCCTAAAAGCCTGGGAATACCTGGAGCAATGCAGAGCATCTCTCATATGACAGACAACTGCGGCTGGTGGCCCTCAGTATCTTCAGGATGGGGTCTGGTCACCATAATTAGAGGTTTCAGCCTACCAGTCCCACCTCCCTCCATCTGGGGAGGGAGAGGAGTAGAGTTGGTCATCAATGGCAATGATTTAAAAACCAATCACAGTTTACACAATGATGCTTCCCAGAAGCCTGCATGATCTGAGTCCCAAGTACTTCCAGCTACCTGATGTGTGTGTGCGTGCATACGTGTATGTGCATGTGTGTGTGTGTGTGTGTGTGTGTGTGCATGCAAGTGTGGTGCCTGCAGTAATAACTGAAGCTCTACACTTTTAGAACCCCATGTGGATGGGGTGAGACTGAACCAGAGGACAGATACCCAGGCAGTACCCACTGGGGGAGCTGCATAATTGACCGCCTGGTGTGTGGGAACACAAATCCCACCCAGGGGTAGCACAAGCACTGTGCTGTGTGATGGGTAGGGATGAGGCCCACACCTCTGAGTTTCCCTCACCACCAGAGCACCTTTTCTTATAACACCAGAATCTGGGAGCAACTGCGATTTCCTACAGTAGGCAAATGAACAAACTGTGATGTATCCAGAGAGTGAGTATCATGTAGCACTAAAGAGAATTCCATCTGACCCAGCCTCCTCTGAGTTATCTTCTCCAAAGAATTAAATCATCAACATCACAGGGACACACGTATACTGATGTTTATAGCAACACAATTTGTAACAGTTAGGTCTTAGAAACTGCATATAAATCCACCAACAGATAAATGGATAAGGGAAATGTGGTATTTACACGCAATGGAGTACCACACTGCCATAAAGAAAGATACGCTTGAAATAAGACAGACACACAAGCTCAAATATTGCATGGTTTCTTATAGGAGAAACACAAACAACATATACATTTATATGAATAAAACACAAAACAGAAGAGAAAGAAATAGGAAGTAGGGAGAAGTTCAAATACTTCCCCAAATATAAACGTCATTGTCTTAAAAATACTTCAAGGCATATGCTAATTGGTTTCATTTATACTAGTTTATCCTGGTTCATTGAAAAGAAAGTTCTGTGTTATCATGTATCTTTTTATAAGAATCTTTTTGGCTTAGGTCTTGTACTTCGAGTAACTAGTTTGAAGATAATGATATTATAACTATTGCTATTCGCTTAATATTTAAGAAACATTTATTTTTTTCATAAAATTAAAAACAGAAAGAAAAAAGAACAAGATACTGCAGTGGTGGGACCCCCACAAGGTGTGGTGCTATTCTGGTATATGACGACAGATACATGTCGCTATCAATGTTCAAAGCCGAACGACTAAAACATGAAGAGTAAACCCTTGACAGTCAGTCACAGCTGTACTCCTGCAACCCCAGCACACCGGGAGGGCGGCAGGAGGATGGCAAGTCCGAGCACAGCCAAGGCCATTTAGCCACTCTGCATGACCCCCGCCCGGCACACAAAAGAAAAAAAGCGTGGGCATGAAGCCCAGAGTGACGGCCCTGGGTTCAACTCTCCAGTACTGAGATAAAACAAAAACAAACAAACAAACAAAATAAATAAAAGACTAAACCCCAAAGTAAACTGCAGTACAGGATGGAGGGGGCGGAGGGCCTTGGCTGTGAGAAGCCTCCCTGCTCTCCGCTCGGCTTGGCCAGGACCCGAGCTGCTCTGGAGGAAGGTAGTCAGCACAGCATTCCTGCCACAGCAGATGCAGCACAGACACCCCTGGAGGCCCAGGGGAGATCGGGCTCGTGGGACACAGATAAGGAGGTGACCCATCTCTGGCCACCCAAGCGAGCAAAGATGGCACTGACCAGGGGGCCAGGCCCAGAGCTTTGGAACTGAGTCTCTGCGCTCATGCTGCAGCACAGAGGCCACACTGAGAGCCCAGCACAGGGTGAAACCACCAGTTGGACCGGAGGTGCCACAGGAGCAGTGGCCGGCATCCGTGGTCAGCAGCTCCGGGCAGAAGTGCCAGGCAGGCAAGCCCGTGGCTGGGGCAGGAGCAGGAAGGCAGGGCCAGGCGTCCCCAGGTTGCACAGAGGGAGCAGAAGCCCTCGGCACTGCATTTCCTCCCCTGTCAGCCAAAGATTCTAGCACACCCCACTAACTTCCCCTGCCTGGGAAGAAACAGAAAAGCAAGCAATCAGAAAGCACAGCAGGGCACTCATGGGCCTGCAGCTCCCCAGCGCCCGCCACAAGGAGACGCCTCGTCCACCCTCAGAAGTCCTGGCTCGTGCCCCTCTCTACAGAGCTCCCTTTGCTCCTCACTGCTCAGCACCCCGGGAGCACCACATCCTGCCCCAAGCGTGGGCACCCATCAGTGTAGACAGATGAGACCTGCCAACTCCCAACAGTTGAGTCTCACCACACCTGTTTCTCCTGCAAACCTGCTCCTGCCCTCGCAGTCTCCATCAGGGGGGCTGTGCCCGCCCAGTGCCCTCTCCTCCTCATGGGGCTGTGCTGGGCCACACAGATACAGACGGCAGCAAGCACCCAGCTTTATCTTCACCACACCACTGCTTTAAAATGCAGGGTTTGCCAGGCATGGTGGCCCTTGCCTGTAATCCCAGCAGTCAAGAGGCCGAGGCAGGAGGATTGCTGTGAGTTTGATGCCAGGCTGGGCTAACAGCTCAAGACTAGCCTGAACCACATAGCGATACCCTGCCTCAAACAAACAAAAATAAAAAAGAATGCAGAGTTCACCTAACTCGTGGACTGCTGAGATCACTTCCTGCCTATTCCCGCTCCCAACATATCCATCCTGTATCGTGGAGGGACCACAAGGAAGGCACTCCGGAAAGAGGAAGGGAGCACAGGGATGACCCAGGCAGGCCTGGGACACAGGGCCGGCCCCTCCCTGCCCACTGCACCCTCACCACCCTCCTTTGGAGCACCCACAGAACAGCCCGTTTCCCCTCGCTCCTCAGCTTCTTCGCAGCCTGCGTACAATGCGTGGCTGACTTCCTGTGGCCCATTGGGCTCAGCCTAGGTCTCCACCCTCTGGGACAACAGGTCAGCTCTGCAAGGCCGACCCTGCGAGCTGGGGAGGGGTTGCTGGACTTCACAGATGCTCTTTCGGCTCCCTGCACACAGAGACTGTCCGCCTGAGCCTGCACTCACTATTTCAGGGCAAGGCCAGCCCATCACGTGTGTATTGCTAGTGCTGCAGTGGCTACCGTAACCAGAGTGACCTGCAACTCATTTTCACAGAATGGACATACACACACTTGCACAGTTCAAGAAGAGCACTTTGTTCAGAACGATGACTAGAGCAAGGGGCTCTTTTACTCTTCCTCTGGTCTCACAGACCCCTTGTCCCCGTCCCCATTAAGCTGTGCTCTTTTTCTGGACAAAGTTCACCTCAGTCCCATTTCTATTTCCAGCCCCAGAAACTGCTGGCATAGTGAGCGCAGGTGCACAGGCGGAGGAGATGAAGGGCATCCCCCGGAGCTCTCCCAGTGAGTCCTAACCCAGGAGGACAGAATGTGACTCAGTGGGTGTTCACTGCTGTTCTGTTAAATGGCTCATTTGTAAAGGTGGGAAGCATTTCTAAACACTCATGGGACTGGGGTTAATCTCAAAAACTACACAGAGGAAAATAATCAGACTTATATAAACAGGAAATTCGACAAACTTAGAAAATGTATTTGCTTATCAAATTATAGATAAAAGACTAATTTCTCTTACACATACATTTCTTTTTCATAGTGTGTGTGTGTGTGTGTGTGTGTGTGTTATATATATATACACATATATACATATATATGTAAGCAAAACCCACAACCCAACAGATAAACAAGCCAAGAATATAAAAAGACAATTCCTAGAACAAGAAAGATTGTGGGGGTCTTAGATAAAGCGGCTCTGCACCCCTTGAGAGAAGCACAGATGGAAGCCACTGAAGGGACTGCCTGGCCTCTGTTGTCACACACCTGCTCCAGAGGACACGCACGGCACACAAACATCCTCTCCAGAAAGGACACACTTGGAACACACTCCCACTCCTGAGAGGACACGCGTGGCACACACCTCCTGAAAGGACCCATGTGGCGCACAACCACTCCTAAGAGGACACGCATGAAAAGGCTGGGAGAAGACAGCCTCACACGACTCTCAGGCAACACGGCAACATGACAATGCCAACACAAATTACACATTCACACAATGCTTGGGAAGAAGGAATAAAACCAGGTCCCAAACAATGCATTATAACGCCTTTTAGGGATATCTGCTGATGCTACCCAGCAACCCTGAACAGACATGTTACAAACTGACCACAGTGTTTCGTGTGTGTGTGTGTGTGTGTGTGTGTGTGTGTGTGTGAGAGAGAGAGAGAGAGGGGCATGACTGCGACAAACTGACACAGTAAACACCTGTTACTATATCTGTAAAATATGTGAATACACTACCAGCTCACACCTTGATTAAAATGTCCTCATTTTATAAGCTACGTATATGATTAACACAAGATGTACTATTAAATAACAGCTATAAAGTAGTCTCTAGTCAGCTGGGTATAGTGACACTAATCCCAGCACTCTGGGAGGCTGAGGCAGGAGGATCCTAACTTCAAGCCTAGCCCGGGAATTTACTCAACAAGACACCATCTCTAAATGAAAAATAAAAAGATCTACAGGCCAGTGCAAAGGCCCTGGGTTCAATCTTCATTGCTAGGGGTAAAAAGTCTCCTATAGCCTTACCTGCAAACTAGCCACGTAGGGATCTTCACAGTTCACATAACGTCCTAACAAGGCATGCTGTGCCCGTAGCTCATTGTCCCTTATCCTCTCGTGGAGGTGGGTAATCTGCTGCTTCTGCCTGCAAAACAGACAGTAACATTATGAAGAAGATACTTTTCTAAGAAACAGGTAAAAGCGGGGCTTTAGTGTTGTAATAATTTTACACACAAGATTAACAGTATTGTCAATGGGAGGAGCTGTAACGACGAACGCTCAGAACGACAGTGCTGCCTGAGCTGTGGGATGGCCGCATGCTCTGGGCCTTCTGGTGTTCTTGGAGCTCATCTCCGGTAGACCCAGCTCCCAGATCCCAACAGGAATGCACACTTGCTTTTGACCTCCTGGTCACCTCCCACGAGAGATGCTGCCCATGTGGCCAGTCCCCCAAAGCTTCCAGTGGCCACAGGTGGGCTTCTCAGAGGTAGCTGGGTGCCCCTAAAAGGGCAGGTAACCTGCATGAAAATAAGTCACACAAGGAGGGCCGCCGCTCCTGCCTGCCCTGCCCTGAACTGTTTCCCCTCTGCCACGCCACCCCGCCTTAGAGCTAGTGGACTACGGCTCTATAAATCTCTACAAACTGTGAGCCAAATAAACCCTTTCTCCCTTAACTTGTGGATGTTGGGTATTTTGTCTCAGCAATGAGAAAAGTAACTAGGACAGTCGGGAACTCCACTGTCAGAAATCTCCATTTCTATTCATCCAGCATGTGCTCCACACTCCACGTCAAAAGAGCTACTGATGACCGCCGGCATCTGTGCAAGGGTCGCCCCACCAATCGCTCTGAGTCGGGATGCAGTGTCAGCCTGTCTGGCTTGGAAACCCACCCAGGGAATGGTGGGGCACATGGCTGGGTGCATCTGATGGGATGGATGTCTGATCCCTGGCACCCTCCTCCCTGCCCTGCTCCCCGGCTCTGCCTTCTCCAGGCCATCATGACGCAGTAGCTCTGCTCTGTCACACCCTCTACCACACTTCTTCCCAGAACCAGCTTGCCATGGACTTTACCCTCTGAAACGTGAGTGACATTAAACCTCTCCTGCTTAAGTCACAGTGTCAGGCGCCATGCCCAGCAGTGGGAAGGCTGACTCATCCCCTATCCTGTGCCTCCACTGCTCCCGACACCCCAGCTGCAGGGCCTATACCCCATGGCCAGCGATGGCCAGCCCACAGCTTGTTTTTTTTTGGTACCGGGGATTGAATCCACAGCTTGGACTGGCGCCGACACACCCTCAAGTGGGAATCTGCTCCACCTCCACAAGCTGCGCTACTTCTAAAAGTCTGCATATTAAAGCTGTTAAAAGCCAGTACGATGTTGAGTTTAATGTACAGTATCTCCCATCTTCCAAAAATTTAGGAAGTCTCAAAATAAGCTTATAAAGGACAAAGAGCTTTGAAGAAATACTAATAGTGTGGGGAAACAAGTAGCTTGAGGTTTTCAAAAATTACTTAGAAAATAACTTTGAAACAAGCTGGGTTATATGCTTCAGACTGCATTAAATAACTTACTCTACTTTTAGTCATTCTTATTTTTTAAAACATTTGCCATTCCTTATAAAACACACAGGAAACAGGTTAGAGAGGATTAAATCTTCTAACAATTTTTCAATCATTTAAAGCTTAAAAAAGAAAACTTTCCTTCCTAGCTAAGAAGTAGTGGGGACTGAGTTTCTCTCCCACTTGAAACAAAATGCAGGGTAAAATATAGAGAACAAAGGCTCTCAAGACACCGGACATCAGGCAGTCGTGGGAAGAAAATTAACCCTACACTAAATTCAGATCTGGTGCCATTAACAAAACTTAAAACTAAAAACAAAACTTTAAAACAATAATGAACGCTTCCCAGAATGAAGCTCAGGAAGACAAAAGTACAATTCAAGAAATCATCAGGCATGCAGAGAAGCTGGAAAGGAGCACCCACAATAGTAAGAATTGATATCTGAGACTGAGCCACGGATGACAGACAGGGACACTGGGTCAGTTACCACAACTGTGCTTCTGTGATCAAGAAGCCAGAGGAGACGACCAGAGGTGATCAGACAGGAGCGGACAGAGTGGACATTACTCTGAACACACAGCAACAGAAACTATCTAGAAAGAAACACATGAAGAAAATAGACAAAAATAAAAACTTTAATAACAGAGTATATCTATCACCTCTGGGATGATTCTCAAAGGCCTAACATCTGCATAACTGAAGTCTCCTAAGGAAAGGTAAGGAGGGAGGTGGGCACCCCAAATGAAATCTGCAGAAGATGGTCTAAAATTTCTCCACATCTGACGAGCTCCATATACAGGCCTCAGATTTAGGAGGTCCAGCTAACACCAAGTCCAAGAAACACGAGACACAGTAAACCAAGGTACCTATTAATCAAACAGCTCAAAGTGAGGTACAAAATCTTTAAGCAGCTACAGGAAAAAAGATCTGAGGGAGACAAAGGTAAGGAGGACATCAGATTTCTCATCTGAAATAAGGCAATGGAGAAAACAGTGAAGTGATTTAAAACACACAAAAAAGTTTAAGCTTTCTATCTAGACCTTTTAACCTAAGGAAATATTTAAAACAAAATTAAAGTAAAACCTAGTAACTTAGATTTAACCAACAAAAACAAAATAACAAAAACCACAGGTGAGCTTTAAAAAAAAAAATCTTTGAGAAAAAGCTAAAAGCTGAAAGAATTCATCATCTGCAGATTTCAAGTGGGGGAAATTAAAAGGACCACCTTCACACAAAAGAGTACCATAAATGACAACTATGTGGGCAAAAACATGGTCTTTGCCTATCACTGAAATCTCACTTACAGACTGTATAAGGCAAAAACACTAACACTGTTCTGCAGGGTGTGTGACTTTGTAGACAGAGAATGCACGAGGAAAGAGCTCATGCGCTGGGAGAGGAAAATCGAAGCAAACCAGCAGAGAAGAAAGCTCTCCACTCTCCAGGTCCACGAGCGGAATCCGTACACACTGTTCCTCGGATCAGTGCAGGACCACCGCCTCTCTGGATAGCTTCACCATTTCCTCTACCTAAAGCACAGCCAGCCCGGGCATCCCACCCACACCTGGCATCTGCAGAGGGGCGTCCTGCTGTGGACTCAGCCTGAGTCCGCGAAGTCTGGCACTAACTCTGGTGTTGTGTCTGCACCAGCAGGGACGGGGACAGGAAATACTTACTTCTCTAGTGGATTCCATACTACTATATGCCTAGGTGTCAGCACTCAAAATCACTGATGAACAAACTATCAAAACAGCATTTAAATGCTCTAGTTTTCTGATAAAATGATCACACTTAGGATAGAGAATAAACACAACTCACACATTAGGTGTCCATAAAAGTAAAACACAGGTGCTGTGTAGAGTCTGTCTGGAGCACAAGCTCACGGTGACTCTTGATTAAACACATGCGTGTGAGGTACTGAGTGGTCCTGACATGGACAGGCAGGCCTTCTTCCAACTGTCATAAATCCCACATAAAGGTCATTAACCTTTTGGTTTAAAAGGTCTATGCTATAGCGAATAATTTGTCGATTTTAAAAAGGCCTTCCTACCACTATTAATAACGTGCTTTTATTTCCACACATACACAGCTAACATCAGTCACGACACGATGGGCGCTTGCATTCTGCCAGTGTCACCAGCAGTACTACCTCAGCGGTCTCTCCGTGCCTCAGTTTCAAGGGCTCTGATCTACCCCTTAGCTGATCAGGTCAGCAGAACACACAATTCCAAAGTGCCAGCTATTTTAAAGGACTTTCCCGGGCAATTCTGGGGATCGAGCCCAAAGCCCGGTATGTGCTGGGCAAGCGCTGTCCCACCAAGCTACACCCTCACCTGACAAAGCATGAGCCATTGGCAGACCTGCTCATGAGTGCCAGCATGGCTTAGCCGGGACTCTGGCCTCTTCCCTATCAAAGTGAGGCTGCTTTCTCAGAACGAAGACTGGGTGAGCAACTATTATGAGTTACAAAATGTAAAGTCCTCTCCTAGAAATTAGGGATTTGAGAATCTAGCAAGCAGAGATTAGCATATAAACCTCAGTATATATGTAAAAAAGCATGTTCCTGTGACTACCATTTTGTGGATGGCTATCTTGCATCGGACAGGACACCAGGATCTTCTTACATTCAGCCATTCATTTAATCCTTATGTTACAAATCTGGATGGAGAAGGGAGGATGCCTAGAACAGCAAACTTCAAAACCTCCAGCTTGTGTCAGTGGCAAACTAAGTACAGTCAACCAAAGTGTGAGAGGCCGAAAACATCCTCAGAATCCCCTAGACAGAAACCATGGCAAAAGTAAGAGAAGAAAGCCCCAAGTCTCCTGGTTTTCTCCACTGGTCACGAAGCTAGCTAATCTGTATATTCTACTCAAGAGTCAGGGCATGCTTAGGAACCCAGTTTCCACTGCAGTTACTTTTCCTAAACGTCTGCCCTATTTGGGCAACGCAATCATCTACTACAAAAGACCCACACAGGATGAAAAACACAGTGTTGGGATTACTGGCATTTTCAAAAATAATATCCAGGAATACGTCTTGGTAAAGTGACCTGAAAAGCATCATCAGCCACGCTGTGTCCCCACAGGAGGCCTGGCACCTTCACTCCGGCTCCATCTAACTGGACACCAGACCGGGTGCCATCTCAGAAACAGTTTCTTCATGCGTCACCAACTTTAAAGCTGAGAGTCTACTTCCTTGGGAGAAAGTTAGATATCTGACTCCAGTTTTAGGCACTCTATATGTTATATGTTTTTGTACCCAAACAATTTTATGCTTTAATACTGGTTATGGTACTTCAGAAGCAAAAGCTGATTTCTCTTTCACTGTTAGATAAAATATATAAAATGTTTTAAAATGTTGTACTAAACTTGTGAAGAAAATTCTGAGATGCTTGAAATACCGGGTGTGACAGACTGCCTACAGAAACTTCCACAAGTAGCCAGGCATGTTGGTGCACACCTGTGATCTCAGCACTCGGAGGCTGAAGCAGGAGGAGCAAGAGTTGGAGGCCGTCCTCCACTACATGGCTCTGTCTCAAAAGATAAAATAAATAAAACAAGTGCACCACTACTGTCTCACCCATCTCACTAACAGGGGTGACCCAGTGCCCACAGTGGGAGGGGCAGCTCCGAGCACCCCAGCTGGCCTCAGCCGCATGGCAGGAAGGGACGGAGACCTGGCCCAGCGGCCCACCTGATTATCTACCTAGGTTTGGGGATGCCGAGACCTTACACAGCTCTTGTCCGTCAGTTACTTCCACAGGCACTGCCTTCCTGAGGCCTCCAGCCACATGGGCGCCACCTGTGTGCATCCAGGAAGGGCAGAAGCCTGGTGGCGAGATGAATGGCTACAATGAAACTCCAGACAGGGGCTGTGCAATGCAGCTGAGGGCCAGGCCGGATGCACAGACGGCAGCGCCAGTGTTCCCGCAAATTCTCCAGCTCTGAGTGCCCAGCAAAGCAGCCTGTCATTAACCTCCATCTCCACAGGCTGGAAATACTCCCATTAAGTGAAAAATATGGACTTACCGATCAATGACAAGCTCCTTCTGCCTCAGAAGTCCTTCTTTTACCTTCAGCATCGATTCCCACTTGCTGAAATCCTGAAAGCCAGGCGGCGAGTAACTCTGCCGAGATGCCACCATCAGAGCCTGCAGACACAGGGACATGATCAGCACACGGGGGCCCGGGGCCACCCAATGTCTTCCCAGTTGTCTCCGTTAAAGAGATAGCACCTGCTCTGATTTCTGACTGACTGCAATCACATTTGGGTATAAGTTACAGTAACTTCAAGCATAATGAAGACGGGAGGGCAATGATACATTTAACGAGACTGACTGCAAGGCCACAAGGAAGGTCTCAGCACCTGGTGGAAGCGACTCCTCAAATTAAGAGACAACGGTGCCTCAGAAAGGAGTATGACGAAGGCACCGTGGCTCCACGAGACCACACTCCCGGGGCCACGTGGGGAGCCCACACTGCACACCAGCAGCCGGGCTCCAAACACCAGGGTGCACTGTCCCAGTGTTTGGTCACACCACACCTCCAAAGTCACACATATGGCCACAGGCAGGAAACACAGCCAGGAAATATGACCGCTATGCAGATAATCTGGACCCTTCCTAGTCTCCACTGTAAATTCTATACTTCGGAAAAAATACGGAGAATTTAAGAAAAACTGAAGATGTTTGAAGTAAGTCACCAACAACAAAAGCCAATATAGCAGATAATGCTCAAATTCCTACCAATGAAACAAGAACAATTTTTTTTTCCCATATTGGTGTCATGGGTTTAATTGTATCTCCCCAAAAAGACACATGTGCACATCAGAAAGTGGCCTTTGTTTGCAAACAAACAGGGTGTACTTAGATATGGAAATAAAGCCAAGATACATAAGGATGACCCAAACGCAAGAGGACTGGTGTCCTTTTTCCTTCAGTACTGGGGACTGAACCCAGAGTCTTCATACCAAGATATCTCCCCAGCATTTGTTTTTGTTTCTTTTTTTTTATTATTCTTTATTTTGAGACCAGGTCTCCTAAATCACTAGGTTGCCCAGGCTGAACTTGAACTTATAATCCTCCTGCCTCAGTTTCCCAGAGAGATATTCATTTTCATATTATGCCTTATGGCCTTGAAATTAAAATTTGATTTTATATTTTCAAATACTGAAAAGAAAATATTTTATGATATGTGAAAATTACACTAAATGAAAAATTCAGTATATGAAATAAAGTTTTACTGGAACACGGCCATGTTATTCTTTAATATATTATTTGGCTGCTTTCACAACTGCAGAGCTTTGTTTATTCACCTGTTGCTCATTAATCTGTGGTGTCCAAGAGTGTGGTATTAACACAAACATAGGCCTATTTAACAAAATAAGAAGCCACAAACATACTGACACATCACGGTCAACTATTTTCATTAAAAGAGCAAAGGTAACTAAATGAGGAATGGAATTCTCATATTTATTTTTTTTTAATGAAAACATGTCCACAAAGATCTGTAGGCAAATGTTCATTCAAAATTATCCAAAATGGGGGTGGGATGGAGATTTAGCTCAGTGGTGCCACACCTGCCTCATAAACACAAGGTCCTGAGTTCAATCCCCAGTACCACACACACAAAAAAATTATCCAAAATGGGACACAACTTATATGTTCATCAACTAATAAATGGTAAGCTAATTGCGCTACATCTGCAATTCAGAAACAAAAACAGCAGCTACATGCACTACATAGATAACCCTCAAAAGCATCATGCTAAGTAGGGACGCATTCTCAGGGCTGCTTCTATTTGAGTTCTCAATATTGCAAACCGCACATGGCAGGAGTCAGATGACAGGCTGCTCGAGGAGGGCAGGAGGTGACACGAGGCGCAGAGAGGCTTCTGGACCGGAGTAAACCATGCCCAGCAGGCCCCTGTGGTACAGGACCACGTGCATGCTCCAAGCTCGAGCTATGTGTGTCCAAGGCTGAACTTCATGACTGGTGAGTTATACTTCAGTCTATTACAATGGATGCATTTTACTTGGTTTTTCTAAAAGTTATGTCAGGTAAATGTTCTCACACGTTGCATTAGACGATACCAGCAGCAAAAAGAATCTGTTGTCTCTTTGAAGCAACCCAGACGTGTGTTGACAAAGGGATGAAGAACTGCGGTAAATGTGTACCGCGGAACACCGCACAACAGCGGCAGGACCTGTTACTACACTGCATCGTGTGGGTGAAATCAGAGACATTAAGCAAAACGACATCAGGCAACACGGTCCCGACATAGAACCACACACAGCAATGATGGGAGTTTGAAGTGGAAATGGGCGGATGCAGCACCAGAGACTCCGTCGCGGCCGTGAGACGCAAACCACTGAATGTTACACATCAGTAGTGAAGCATGCATTTTTACCAAATCCCAGAAAACCTAGGTACTCTTTCACAAAAGCATAGTAAAAGACACACAGATAAAATATAAAAGTACTGCTGCCATGCTGTTCTATACAAAATTTCAAGTACTTGATCATGTTCTACTTGACTCAGCCATGTTAAGTCATCATGGAGGGATGAACCTGACAATGTAAACTTATGAATATATGACACATTTATGGCTTATGAATAATAAAACTTTTACTAGACATGAACATGAAGAGTAAAGGGTAATTATAAAGGCTTGTAACTGCCAGCTCACATGAGTAAGGAACAGAAAGAATGTCATAAAATATTTCAACAGCCATGAAGGTGGAACAAAGACACTTTCTACAAGTACTTAACAGTAGCTGCCAAACTCGTAGAGGAGAGACCCTCATTTAGTATTCTGCCTAAAACACATAAGATGCATTGTTCTGCAGCGACTAGAGAAGAGAATACTAATCGCTAGTAGACCCTACCTATACACTTACAGACCTAGGAAGACATACGTAGGCACCTCTGAAGGAAACGGCAAATTCTGCTCCCAACTAAACAGGGACTGTGGGCATCCACCGCAATCCCACACACATGCTATTCAGATGATACTCGGATGCTCTGAAAAGATGCCAAAATATGTCACTAATGGCCACACACACTTCTGATGAAGTTACTACAGTGCAGCTGAAAATAACTCCCAGTTCTTTGGCCTGGAGGAATCCCGTTAAATTTAGCTGGTCTCGTGCTACCCGAGTGGAACACCGCCTGCAGCACCTCGATGTGCTATCTCCCTCTCCTTCATCTGCCTTTGTCCCGGTGATCAGCGTCCAGCCTGTCATGCAGCACCGCAGCCTTCCTCTGGCTCCTGGAAATGGCTATCTGCAGAGCCACTTTGAGACAAGTACTCCCTGGTAAAAAGAACCAGAACACCTCACCCACAAGTAAACACATTCACGAAGCTCCGGAATGAAGATGGAATAAACTACAAATAACAAAGAACCCAAAATGCTTGTATTCACCAAGAAAAACAGATTACATTAGTACTCAAAGCACTGCATTTAATAGAAAACATGTGAGACTAAACCCATGTAATTATTTGTGAAATACACTGCTGCACATTTTCTAACCAAAAAAAGGCAAACAAAAACAAAACACATTAAAAACATTCTATTAATAACTTCTTCCTCAGAGTGACCCATTATAGGCTAGAGTCTTCATCTTGACCTTCAAAACTTAAATCACAGAGAAGAAACTGTGTTTTAATAGTTTTATTATTTGTTTAGTTTATTTTTACTACTAACTCTTCTTGCTTGCCATACAAATATGCTTTACTAAAATAAAAATTCGAGTAGACTGAGTTACTTTTAGGGTAAAAGATGCTGGAAAAAAATGATTTAAAGAAATCATGATTAAAATAAACAGAAGGACCGGGGATTTAGCTCAGTGGTTCTATCGCCTGCCTTGCAAGTGCAATGTCCCAAGTTTGCTCCCCGGTACCAAAACATTAAAAAAATAATAATAAAAAAATAAAATGACAAAGGAAATTCCACACATAGTATTCCTTGAAAATGAAAACAAAAAGAACCTTCAATTTAACCTGTTTCACAAAGAAAAGATCCATGCATGAATCATGATCTCATACAGCCACGGCAACAGCGAGGAGAAACCGCTCTATCAAGGGTAAGAGGAGGTGACCACGCTCCTTCAACCAAACAATCAGAAGATTAAGTAAAAGAAATGAGCTAAACCTTCTCATTAACATTCATTAATATGACTTTTACTTATATGGCCTTTCCCAACTTTTAACCTTCTAATTTACTTTTTAAATTTAAGATTAAATATATTAACAGCAGAATTAAATGAATCAATCTCTTATCATTAATAAACCAGATAACTTATACTCAAACTAAAAACAATTAGGGTATAAGTGCTAATTCATGAAACAGAAGTTTACCAGAACAAATATTTGATGAGGGTCCATCCTGCATCCTGCCTGAGGTTACACACAACCACATCATACTGTGGACCCACTTCCAAGTAAAACAAGTGCTAGAATATTTCCAAACTCAGATTACCAAATAAGCTTTATAAGATCTTTTGCCTTACTTTACTATCAAGAGATAAAAGAAACAGTATAGTAATAAAAGTGTCCTGGGACCAAAGTACTCCTACCTTGTTTTAAAATGTATCAAATAACTTGTCTAATTTTTAGGGTATAGAAGGAACCACCGTAAAAGGGGAGAGGGGGCAGGCAAAGCAACTTCATTTCCTACCATTTGGGATTTCCTAACTTTTCTTAGCATACACATACTATATTTTTCTTTTCTAGCACTGTAATTCTGGGCTGTTAACATTTCCTACTTCTCTATACTAAAAATACTGTCTTTAAAATGTTTCAGGAGTTGGCAATAAAAAGCTTTCTCGGGCACCTGTGTGAAGTGGGATCTGGAGAGCCCCGTGCAGTCCGACACGGGACACAGCGAGGTGACCCAGGCTCTCACTTTTTAACCCCCAATCCCATGCATCACCCGGTCCACTGCAAAGAACCAACACAGACAACCCACACCAGGGTCTGCAAGTACATTTCGAAGCCTTTGTGAAAACCTCAAGCTGCCCCCAGCACAGACCACAGGTAGGGCCTGACCCTCCATCCCCAGGCTTCAGGCTGGAGCTAACGGTGCCTGCTAAATACAGTGTGCTGTTGTCCTCCACCCAAGGTCAGGGAGCAGCCTGTCCACACTCAGCCA